CCGTCACAAACAGCTGGCTATCGTGCAAAGATAAGGCAGCATCGACGAGACAGCTTCCTTGCGGCTTTCACTGCCACGCGTCATAATCAGCCATTACCCCGCAGATAACTCAGCACCAAACACACTTTAAACAGACAATCCGAGTAAGAGACGGTTGCGAGCCATGTCCTGTAAAGTCTCGAGCCAAGCACAAGGTGAGTCACGTGGACTCCAACCCGGAAGGCGAGACGGACCAGCGGCACCCAGTTTGGTCGTCAGTGACTTCATTTCCTGCTGCCAAGTCAACTTCTGTCCACCTCGAGCCTTGCGCCATCCGACACCTGGTAGACTGAACAAGGCCCTCCTAGGTAAGCGGTGACCAGGCATACGTAGCACGTGCCCCAGCCAACGTAACTTATTCAGTGCTATCTGTTGTTCTAGGGAGCTAGCATGATCATCACCACCTAGTACTCGTCTACGCACATCATCGTTGCAGACACGCTGGTGCCATCCGACACCAGAAATGCTTCGCAGACAAGGATGATCAAAGACTTTAAAGCACCTCAGATCTTCAGACAGAAGGGGTGTCTCACTGCCATAAAGCAGAACGGCCCTCACTGTGGCCTTGTATACACGGCCTTTCAGACGGAGGGAAACTCCCTTCTGTCGCCAAAGATGACGCAGGTTCAAGATGGCAGCTCTGGCCTTTGCAATGCGTGAGCTCACGTCAGTTTATATGCGCCTATCATTGCTGATACAGCTGCCAAGATAAGTGAATTGATCAACCACCTCGAGTTCCTCGTTAGTAAGGGTCAATCGGTTATAAAGTGGATGGTGGTCCTGCAGCAACACTTTGCACTTTGAAGGTGCTAAGTGCATACCAAATAATGGGGCCACTACAGAGAGGCTATTCAGGGTTGATTGTGCCGCCACAACATTGTCGAAAAGCAAGACGATATCGTCCGCATAATCTAGATCAACTAACCTTTCACTAGACAGCACTTCAATGCCTACATCGTGAGATTCCGCAAGGGAACACTCCATGATAGAATCCACGACGAAATTGAACAAAAACGGGGAAATCGGACAACCCTGACGAACGCCACTTGTGGTCGGAAAGCTATCCGATAGGGCACCATAGACCCGAAGGCGGCCTGTAGTGTTCGAGTATAGAGCACGAAGGATGTTCACATATCTCGTGGGAACACCTTTCCGCGCAAGTATTTCGAACAGAATCGATCGATCGACTGAATCGAACGCACTCTTGAAATCAAGGAACACAGCTATTGTCGGTCTGATGTATGCGTGGCGCTGCTCTAACGCCTGCCGCAAAGTGAACATATGGTCTATACAGCCACGTCCTGGACGGAAACCGGCCTGCTCTAATCCGAGATTCCCGTTCTGCAGTGAGGCGACGAACGATAATCGAGGCCAGTAATTTTGTCACAACTGGCGTTAGGCTAATACCCCTGTGGTTAGAACAGTCCGTGCGACTGCCCTTCTTGTATATTGCCACTATAATCGATTCGTACCAACCAGCCGGAAGACTCTCTTCATTCCAGATACGTTCGAATAAGGTCAGTGCTATGCAGAGGACCTCACATCCATGCTTAAATAGTGCAGATGGGAGGGAATCCGGGCCAGCGGTACGAAAACGATTGAGGGCTGTGATCGCGTTTCGGACCTCGGCCTCCGACGGAGGCTCTAAACTAACCGTCCATGGCTCGTCCTGCATCACCTGAGTAGGAAGAGGTCCAGGAGCAGGGGGCCAGCTGAACTGATGTTCAATTGCTCAGCCTAACGAGCCATACGGCGCTCCTTATTGTGTATCAGCGCACCCGCGCTTTCCCTGATTGTCTCACTGACGCCTGGTTTCCTCGGACCAGTGGTGCGTATTAGCTGGAAGAGCTTCCGGTAATTGCCTACTGCTCCTGCCTCCTCCATTCCTTGAGCCCGACTGGTCCACCAGGCTTCCTTGTCAGCACATAGGCTCCGCTTTAGTTCACGCCTAATAGCCCGTCTGGTCACATTGTGTTCAGAACCAGCCGGGAGGTGCCTTCTAGCTTCCAAAAGGTTCACGGACCTCTCGGATATCCAGTGACTGGTGCGGTGACGATGGATAGTGCTACAAGCAGCTTCTCCTGCGTCGTGCATAGTGGCCGAGATCCTATTCCACTGAAGCTCAGTATCATTAGGACAAGACAGCGAGAGTTCGCTATGTAGTGCTTCTTGATAGACTTGCCTGACAGAGGGCTGGGACAATTTCTCCGTTGCCAATCGGGGGAGACGCTTCTTGCGCCTTCCGGTAAAGTTCATGGAGAAACGACAGCGCACCAAGGCATGGTCAGAGTCGACACAGGTACTCCAGTACGAGCGGCAATCCAGAATGGAACCGCGCCACATGTAACCTATGGCTATCTGGTCAATTTGGGTCCATCGCTGACCAGCTACAGGTGGACGCCAAGTGGCACGTCGGCGCACACTGTGTCTAAAAGCAGTGCTAGTAAGAAACAACTGGCGCTCCGCACACAGTTGCAGCAGACGCTCACCGTTGTCAGTCCGTTCGGAGTTTAGCCCACAATTACCACCCAGCTGAGCTTCTGAAGAGCTCAGACGCCCTACTTGTGCGTTCATATCCCCTGCAAGTACTATAATATCTGAACTATTAGCACTGCGTAGCAGCGTGTTCATTTCGTGATAGAAAGTGTCCTTGACTGCATTAGAACTGCAGTCAGTGGAAGAATAAGCAGAAATCACAAACAAACAGCGTTTTGTACTACTTCGCGAATTCACCTTAGCTGATGTCGTCAAACGGGCTGCACATGAACGGCTGTTCACCTGAATCCAATCAACCAACGATGACAGCCTTGGAGCTGAGAATGATACCTACACCAGCTTGACCCGTGAGTGCCGCATCGGCGTCTCCGGATGCGTGCAACCAATAACGAGAGGATAAGCCTGGTGCAGTCAATTCAATAACCCCGTTAGGGTCATTGATCCTAGTTTCGGACACACAACACACATCAACACCCAGTGTGTCCAAGGTGCGTGCGAGTGCAGCCTGCTGACCTGTTCGTCTTAGAGTGCGGACGTTGAATGTCGCCATGGAAACGGGACAGCGTGGCCTTATAAGGAAATTTTGCCGATAGGCGTCCGATAGGTGCTGTGAAATGGTGGCTGCAGATGGTTCTACTCCAGTAGCACTTCGGTTGCTGTCAATTAAGCTGGGAATTATAGAAGGAAGGTTAGTAATGGAGGTCGGGATGGGAGTAAGAGAAAAAGGTGGAAAAGAAAGAAGGGAGGCGCCAGCAGTAGCATGTTTTCGCTTATCCGCCCTGCTGTATGCAGCAGATAAGGCGACCCTTGTTAATCTGCGCGACGGCCGATGCAGGATGAAGTTAATGTTTGAAGAAAAAGCCATGGTTGTATGTGGGCTGGGATACTGCCAGGGCGCCCAGACCTAGACAGGAGAACGATTAGGGTCCTCATCCAAAGCCTTTGGCTCAAAAGCCTGTCCGCAAGGCAACGGGGAGGTGGCAATGATTTAGTTTTACAGAAATGGACGCCATGCCATTTCAAACCCCCAACCTGGAGGACCAGGAGACTGAGTTTGTCTGACCTCTCACCATTGACCAACCTGGTAGGAGTAGCTCTCAAGATGCTCGGAGGCATCACCCAGTATAGCTCAATGGGTCAATGAGGTACGCAAACCGTCGCACCACGTTAAGGTCCAGTCTCGTTGCGACGGTACTTTTCGCCCAACCACTCATCGCTAACTCTAACGCGGTTTCCTTCACACAAGAAGGAACAATCGAAGTCGAACACCCCTTAGAAATGGAGAGAAACGCCTGTGGTCGGTATGTGGTGCGTGTGACGCTGATCTAGTACTTCGTGCGGCGCGAGGCTGTGATCCATACAGTCCCTTCACGGTCGGGCACCAGTCTGCTGTTGAGTTTATATCACCATAGTTATTGCAGGTGCTACTAAGCGAATGGGTTAATCTCCATATAGACCATACCCACAGCCATAAACAGCGTGGACATAACAAAGCCGACCGAGTGGTTAAGCCTTCTGGATCGTAATCCTAAGGACACCGATTCGAGCCTGTGTAGGTGTGAGCGACCTCTCAGCCCACATGCGACTGGTGGTGGTCGCTTGGCAACGAATCGGCGACACAACGTACCGGCATACAGGGTCCGGATTACCAGCACAGTAGTGTGGCCACGTTTCTAGCCTAAAGGTCAAATAATCGAACTTGCATCATCTAAGCGCGAAGCGCCTCAAAAGCAGGAGGCTAAAATATGTTCCTGCAAGTGCCCTGCGAGGCAGTCTGCACTTTTCGTCAGTAACTAGAATACCGACACTGACTCGGATTGTCCCAATGCATACCGACTTCTTTGTCCTATTGGCTGAATTATTCAGAGGAAAGCGCAATAGCTATTCTCCGTCTCCTACTTATCCCAGGCTTTCGGTACCCGACGTGTATCTAGCTCACTTCTCTCGTTGCCTGGCGAACACCATGCATCCTATTAATTCACAGATATATGGTTGATTATCAATGGTATATGGATCGACTATAACGAATATGAATGTAGTGTGTGGAATCCCCCACAATCGTTCAGCATCTATGGAAACTTTCTGGGGACCACCGTAGCTCGAAGTGTGATTCCTCTCTGTACTCATCGGTTCACACGGTACTGACAGACGACGAGTATCACGCAGCTGCTCCCACTCTCCTTGTGAGGTTTCTTGATTTGCGGGGCAAGCTGAACGATGAGGTGACGCCGTAAAATCTTCACTGGTGGCATACTGCTGTTTCAAAGTTCGATCTATTCTGTATTATGCCTCTTGACTGCGTTCTTTTAGCCCAGTTGGACTCATGCGGGAGGGTACTGTTGGCGTCCATAGTGATTAGCCGTACCATACCTAAGTTATCATCTTCACCACATGACAGGCGATTTCATACACGCATATGAGAGTCTCAATTCGAACAACACTTCATCGATGACATTTTGTTTCAGGATGGAAAATATACTTTTACAGTTGGTAAAGGCAACATTACCGAAGCACATTTATCTCATGGAACCCGGTCATCTCGTTGATACCAAGACCTCCAGTTTTTTTCCGGTGCAGTTGTTATCTGACAGGGAATTGTCACCGTTCGTATTGTACTTCAAAACTCCTCCGGGATACGAGAAAACCGAAATGGATAGTGGCCAGAAAATGAGGTCCTCGAGTACTTCGAATGAGCTTATCCTCATATACATCGTCCGTGCCCAGTTGCTGGTAAGCCATGTTTTTCGCGACCATCGTTACGGGTACTGGTAAAGCAATCATCTTGCATCACTTAATGCTTATGCAATCGACTTCATGTAAAGTAACCAGGCTCACTCATCATTATACGTAGCCTTACCGATAGTACGCTTTGATCAGTATCTCAAACCGAAAGCCGGTCTCTATCGCAATTCATTACCACCTAATTAGTAAACGTGGTAAATGTGTAGTCTACATACAAACTGGCATCTTATATGCTCTGCACTGGTGGTGGTTACACTGTCATAGACCTTGTACCAACGATACAAAGCCTAAGCTAAGTACATCGTATGAAAACTAAACTAGAAACTATGAACAAATAAACCTAGACTTAACGCACGGTCTGGGCAGAAGAATAAAACGAAGTATCCTGTAACCGTGGTTCTATAAGGCATATTAAATACAGTACATGACTTACGAATAGGTTTTGCAATCGTAGTGCAAGAGGGCAGAAATTGTACAGCGTGCGGCGGCGTGCGAGTATTTGGGCAGTGTCACAGTAACATAATAATATGAATGACCTTGAAACGTCAAGGATATGTCAGTGATCGAGTGAAAGGAATAAATATACGATATGGTAACCGATTGTAGGACACAGTAAAACAATGTAAAATGAGCAGAATAATCAGGGAATAGAGATACCGTGTCCTCATGTAAGCAATCCAGGTTGGGGATACATCAAAGTTCCTTTTGGACTTTACACTCCCCCGGCGGTTTCGTATTCCGGACGATGGCTTCCACATCATCAGTCTCTTCTTCCTGGTACGCTTCTAGTAGGCATAGCTGTCTGACGTCTCTTCTCAATACACCTTTGCTTGTCCTCACCAGTGCTTGTCGAACTAATTGGTCTTTGCTCTTGAAAACTTCCTCCACGACACCCTTAGGCCACAGACCTCTTGATGTGCGTAAATCACAAACTAAAACTAAATCGCCCTGACTAAGATCTCGAATTTTAGTTAACCATTTCTGCCTATTCTTCAGTGTCGGTGGATATACTCTGGTCCATCTACGCCAAAACATATCGGACAGACGTCTTACCTGCCTCCACCTTCTGCTCAATTTGATTGGTAAGTTGATCGGCGGGTATTCAAGCGACTTATCATTTGCGAGCGTTAATAGTTGCCGAGGCGATATAGCATCTTGCGAATCCGGGGAGTCGGGTACCGCTACCAAAGGCCTGTCATTCAATATCCTTTCGATCTCGGTGAGTGTCGTTACAAGTACCTCTTCGGTCACAACCTCGCCGTCGAGAATGTTACGTATTAATTCACGAGTCGATCGAACTAATCGTTCCCAAAGACCGCGATGGCTAGCACATGGAGGACTGGACTGGGCAATCAACCCCTCTAGCCAACATAGCCTTTGTGATCTTCGTCTGATCCAGCTGCTTCAGAAGATTGCGTAATTCTTCTTCAGCTCCATGAAAATTCTGTCCATTATCGCTGTACATTACAGTCGACCATCCGCGTCTAGTTGAAAACCTCGAAAACGCACACAAGAACGAATCGGTATCCATAGAGTGGGAAACCTCTATGTGAACAGCCCGTGTAGTCAAGCCACTGAACAAACAGCCATATCCCTTTTCATGTACGCGGCCACGTTTCACTCTCAGCGGTCCAAAATAGTCAATCCCCACTGCAGTGAACGCTGCTTGGTGGGTCAGACATTGGTCTGTTATCAGTGGTGCCATCAGCTGACTCAGTGGTTTCGCATGGTTGACGCGGCATTCGGCACATTTGAAAAGCGCGCGTCTTATGGATGAAAACCCACCCACGATCCAGTAGCGTCGATGAAGATCGTACGAAGTGTGCTGCGCATCAGTGTCCACTGATGTAGTGGTAGTGAAGTATAAGAAGGCGAGTGACAAAGTGGCGACCGGGAAGTAAAATCGGATGCCTCGCGTCGTACGGTACCGAGAGTTGATCCAGCCTTCCGCCCACCCGAAGTATCCCATTAATGAGGAAGGGCTTGAGTCGTCTTAATCTGCATGACCTCAGTTTTAAATTTCGAACTGCTATGTCGGGTTCGTTGTACGTAAGGAGGCGCATCTCCTCCGCAAAAACTTCTGACTGCGCCAGCTTAACTATCTGAAGTGTAGCTTGTCGAATTTCAGCACTTTATATCTCACCTGGTTGGTTAGGTGCAACGCGTCTCGGGTATTTGGCGACGAAATAAGATTTGAATCGCAAGAAGGTAACGAAATATTTGCGCAGAGAAGTCCATGTCGGGCAAGCCTTAAAGTCATTACTCCAGTGCTCCTCCAAAGTGACCAAGAAAACGTGACCAACCTCGGGTCGTAACTATTCAGGCGGTAAATCACCCAGATTCGCCGGATGCATAGGCCATGAGGAATGGGGCTGAAGGAGAAATTGTGGCCCATGTAACCATTGGTTTGTTTCCTTCTTAAGCGACATCGCGAGTCCACGTGAGGCTATATCATCCGGGTTCTGCTTCGAATATACGTAGCGCCACTGGGTGGGGTATTGTTGTATAATGATAATCCGGTTGGCAACATACGTCGGGAAACGCCCATTAACACTTCGAAGAAGCTTTAGAACTACCATCGAGTCTGTCCAGAACGTTGTGCTACAATGGAGTGCCATCTCCTCTCTGACTTTCGTTGGCATGCACACGTTCAGTACGGCAGCAGTGAGCTCCAACCTCGGTGTCGACACAGTTCTAATGGGACTGACACGTGATTTACTAATAATCAGGAAACCACTAACGTTACCTTCATCAATCTCGCAACGCAAATATAGAGCAGCACTGTAACCAGCATCAGACGCATCCGAAAAACAATGCACCTGCACAGAAGATATACTGCATCCGAACAGAATTAACACCAAATAAACAATCGTCGACATAAAAACAGTTCTCTGTTGTTTCTTTAACCTTTGGGATTCACAATAACTGTCAACAATAGCTTGTCGTAACGAAAAGTTAGCACAGCTTGATGACGAAGTAGCGCCAAACGGATGTACAGTCATGCGATATTCAGTAGGGGGTGAACAAAGATTGCTGTTCTTCCACCACAGGAACCTCAAACAACTTGGATCCTTAATAGGAACCTTGACCTGATGAAACATCGCTTCAATGTCGGACGCGACGTCGATTGGATGGAACCTGAACCGCAAAAGTATCCCCACTAGACTGACATATCGGGACTAGGTAAAAGTTGTTGATTGAGAGAAGTTCCACGGTATGAAGCTTGACAATCGAAGACCACTCGCACTTTACCGGGATTACGTGGATGCGATACCGAGTGGTAGGTTTCTCCTTTAACTTACTGTTCCTGTAATGGAGCAAATTCAGCATATCCTTTAAATATATATTCTTCCACTGCTTTAGTGTATGCTTGGCGCAGTGCGGCATACTTCGACAAACGTTTCTTCAACATGACAAGCCTCATCACTGCGAATTGTCGGTTATCTGGTAACCGAGATCTCCCGACTTGTCATTGTAAGGCAATCTGGTAGTGGGCGCCAACCTTTCTTTTAGTAGCTTCCATTAGTTTTAATGCGGGTCCGTCGTTCACATACATGGTTAGTCGTGGACTATCTAGTCCGTCAAATTCCCTTTCATACATTTGCTCTAGTAGTTGATGAAGATCAATGGTATCGCAGCGAAATGAGTTGATCCTCCGTATTCGATCAACTGTTTGTGATGTGGATTGATCCCTCATAAGCTCGTGCTGTTTGTTCGATCCCAGTACGATCCAGCCCAGTGGAGTTTTAACAGCATACGGATCATCATGATCCCCACGTCTCTGATCTAATGCCCAGTGTAGGTATGGGTTATCGCAACGAGTCAAAAGCTCAACTCTTCCTTCCAGGTCCGGTAACCGTAGATAGGAGAGGTGGGACCATCTGTCGAAATCGTTGTTCCTGTTTCTTGTTCCAAGTTTTTCAGGGAGACGACTGACTGATCGAATCAAGTTGGACCGCCTCATCGCCATCTATAGATCGAACAGTTACACTAACCAACTGGGACTCTACTTGGCATCGGCCAGTAACGGTGCTAATGTTAAGTGTCTTCACGGACCCTTGAACCCCGATAACTTTTAGTAATGTTGAATCAATCAGTGAAGTATCTGATCCATTATCTATTATCTATGTTCGAATGGTGCCAGCAGGCCCAGAAACAAGCACAGGCAACAAGCCAAGTGATACAACAGAACGTTCGACGTGACTGAGAGCAAAACTAGATCCTTCGGTGTTTGCTGTTCCGAAGTTGCTTCGATCAGCATGGAGTAGCGGGTGGAGAGCGGACTTGAACCCAAAGAATCCAAGTGTTTCTTTTTCTCCGTTGTGTACCCGGTGTTTCGTCTTGACAGACATGGGTTACATCCCTTACGGGAGAAAATTCAACCCATGCTTGATTCGACGACACCGCGTAACATACCTGAACTGCAGTCATTCCTTGGATTGGTGACTCATTACAGTCGCCTTTTGCCCAACCTAGCTCTACGCTCGCGACCATGTATGCATTACTACGTAAGAATAGCTTATGGCTATGATCACCAGAAGAAAAATGCGTAGGTTGCTATCAAGTTGGCCTTATCTCAGGCTCTTTCGCTGCTTCACTTTAACCCGAAGAGACCGATTAATCTCCGGAACGACGCATCACCCACAGGGCTCGGAGCCGTGCCAGTTCACAAAATGAACAATGCCAAACGACCCATAGCTTTTGCATCCAGGAACTTGGCACCTGCGTGAGTAATTACACCCAGCTAGACACGGAAGTCTTAGCGGTTATCTTTGGAGTTAATAAATTTCACGCGTGCCTTTTTGGGACGGACCTTTGAAACTTTTACAGACCACAAATCTGTACTAACTTAGATCGGCTAGGATATGGGCATCCACCAGATGGCATCCTCTCGTATGCCACCTTGGACTTTACTGCATTCTGCCTACCACTACAAAATCTCGTATGTTTCAGGCAACCTAACGGAGTCGTCATCGCTCTGAGCCGCTCGCCGTACTGAAACCCTCTGACTGGTTCATTCGCTTCAACATTTAGATGGAAATTCGGTGCTAAACGCAGATATCCGTACGGAACATACTGCTTGCCATGATCAAGCATATAGTACCCCAGGGATGGCCTGTTAAATGTGAGCCGCAAATGCTGCCATACTTCACTCGATACCCCGAGCTTAGTCTTGAATGTGGATGTCTGGTCTGAGGATCCACAGCGATCGTACCATCCCGATTGCGACCAGATGTTCTACAACAGCTACACGAGAATGAAAGGAATTGTGCAACCCTTTTTGTGGTGGCCCACTATTGACAGACGAGTTAATGCGACACTGCCAAGTCTGTCAAAGCACATAAAAAGCGCCTCTGCGGTAACACGGCCTACGGAAATGTCCCAGTAAACCATGGGTGTGTACATGCTGATTTTTACGCCCCATACGACGGGAAGCTGTTTCTTCTGTTGACCGACACTTACTCAAGATGGACCGAAGTTTTCCAGCTAACACGAGCCACGTCAGAGACTACATTTATGTGCGTCCGAAAGTACTTTACAACACACTGGTGACAGACAATTGGTCCGTGTTTACCGGTCTGGAGTTTCAGGGTTTCTGCAAAATAACTGCATGCGTCATGTAAAATCAGCCCCTTACCACCCAGGTTCTACTGGATTAGCTGAAAAGGCGGTCCAGTCAGTCAAGAACGGGGTACAAATATAACTGCTGGCTCCATTTCAAACAAGCTTAGACAAATTTGTTTTTGGTTGTCGCTCCACATCGATCGAAATGACTGGTAAGGGCCCCAGTGAACTAAAGTTCTGGCAGACATGGCTAAACTTGCTGTTTTCTGATCAGCTGCTACGTGTCGAGGCCGAGAATGACCAGATGACGGAGGATCGACAGCTCAGTGAGAACGAACTGCCTTATGTCAAGTTGCTTAATGAAACGAACTGGAAGTCTGGATATTTGCGTGAAGTTGCAAGACAAACTAAGGAAGCGGGTTTTCCAGACGGCAGGGTAGTCATTCGGCACAAAACCACGCTTTGTCTCGGTTCCATCAGCCGATACACCCGCCCACTGAGTTAGAGACTGCAATGTCGCCGCTCAGGCCGATTACGCAGATCAGTCGATCGATACCAGGCCAGCTGGCATAGTTCCAACTAAAAGGGGGAGGAAAAGGTATCTGCGCCAGCTGTGTTCACCTTTCCAGTCGATCTCGCCGAAGTCTGTGCATGTCAGTTTAACGCCATGCGAACCATTGATTGAAGTATATATATATATATATATATATATATATATATATATATATATATATATATATATATATATATATATATATATATATACGCTTTTGTTGATTCGACGATGTGTTTCGCATGTATGTTATAGCGTTTCATGTATCGAAGTCTCTGCAGATTCCGTTGTGTTAAGCCGCCGAAACCGCCCACATCAGACGCTATCTGAAGTGGATCGATCAGGAAGCCAGTTGCGCTGGCGCATTTTCCTTACATTTGCCCGGTTTTTCATCAGCCTTTCTAACGGCTTTTCTATCAGTTGCTTTTGCCACCTCGATTCGATGCATCGAATCATTGTGCATCGGTGCTCCAAAAGTGGGGAATTCATTTATCGATGATATGAGACCACAGGCAGCTAAATCACCCGTGACCTCTTCTCAATCACTCCCTGGACGATGTGTGTCCGCCACCAGCCCGGTTTACACGTTTTATCGTTTGCTCTTTATCCGCAGGACGGACAGCTCACTAGCTGGCTGAATGGACCCGAGTTTTGCTCCTTAAAGCTGAGTTTTAATGGCACTCGTCGGAACTGCAAGCGACTACCTACAGCCCCGGAATACACCGGCTTGTTTGTGTTCTCTGTTACTTCAACCATCAAAAGCGGTGGTTTGAACACCCTCTGTGTGGAAACATCCCGGAACCGATCGGCCTTCCAAGCTGATGATCAGGCAAAGGATTCGCGGGTGAGTTTTAGCTACATCTTCCATTGTGTACACTAGATCATTTTCGGTAACCGAATCTGAATGATGGAGAACTCCAAAAATCCCCATAGTTTAAGGGGATGCTCCTACTTTTGTCTGAAACTCAGGCTGGTGATACCCAATGTTATCGTTACGTCCCCAATGCAATACTCCCCTGAGTAGGATTAAAGGCCGAATAGTGAACAATGGCTGCTGTTCACTTTCACCGTGGTCGGAATGCAACAGTACTTTTAACCATAGCCAACGACGCTTACCTACATCTAGGCGATTTGCTAGCGCTCCTGCACTCATTAGTCGGGAGCGGCGCCATGGCACACGGTTTAGAGCGGTAGGAGCAAACCAAGGGGTGCATCCTATGGATAGTATAATTTGGCTTTCCTCGGCGTCTTTATTCACTCCACTATGCTTGCAGCCTACGATGTTGTGTGGCGTCAAATTAGTGCCCTTCTTTTACAATTTCAGACACCAAATCCATCGCCGCCAATGGTTCTGATCGGCGCCTATCGCGTGCACATAGACGTCACGTCCATAATCCAAGCCTCTGTTGGTCTAACGTTTGGAGGTCCGAACAAACCCACACTGTACATTCCAAAATAATAGAATAAAACCTTATTCGTCCCTCTATATTCTGCTCTAGTGGGTGAGAGAACAAGTTTGCACAACTGGTCGATCAAGTCCATTGTTTTATGGATTTTTAGACCACTTCTCAATTTTCAGCGGGGTTGGTAACAGTCCCCACTGTCCAGCACATACCCCGCTTTTACATGGTGACACGTCTAAATCGCAGTGTCATGTATGTCGCAGCGCTCAGCTTTCTCTAAGCTACATCGTTTTTGGTATCACATGTTATACGCGTGTTACAGACTTAAGAGTACTCTCGTTCCTATTTCGATGCGCATTCAGTAAAGCTCGTCGTCATACTATGATATATTGAGGGTAGATGCAGTAAGGAGGATAGGCAGCAGATGCAGCTCCTCTGAATCTGGTACACTGATGCTCAGTGAAGACAATCTGCTTTAAGCAAGCGCTGTCTTCATGTACAAACCTGACGCCACATTCGAGAATGCGATCTTCCTGCTAGTAGCAGTTACTCGCAAGTTAACATTGGCTTAGGTAAACCATTTTGGACACATATTCCATGAAAACACGATAATAATTATGTACAATGAATTGTAAAGAAAGATTCATGAAAGACGAGGAAAATCATTTAACTGGAGCACTCGAGGTTGACGACTGAGTTTTAGCAAGCTTATAACCACGCTGGCGGACGCATGCGAGCAGATTTTGCGCGGTAACTGGACACAGGATGCTTTCGATGATAGCTGGAAGATAAACGGAAAAATGGCTTCTATGTTTTTGTTGGTACAACACGTTTGCTTAAGGCTGATTTCAAACAATAAGCAAATATGTGGACGAACTGATTCTCGTTTACTTACACTATCAGCCAAGATGAAAACATGGTTTATCATCACTGCTAATGAAGATTAGGCAACACCGATTTCTCCGGATTCGACCGCCACTGCGATTGCGAACACCATCTGCACCTTGAGAAGGGCCATGGGGGTCTGCGCTACACACACGCCTCCGAAAGTCAAGGTCAGTAGACTGACAAGGACATGCAAACATTTCAACTGTTTCAGCACGATAGATAGATAGCACTGCGAGTATGGGAGGAACCAATTCCCAGCAGTTAACAGTTATCTGTACCCTCTTAAGTGGCATAAAATCCACCGATAAGTTTTAACGTCATCGAACAACGTACTTCCATTTTACGCCTCGCTTCCAAGTGATATTTCTCCTATTTCGGTGGTCTAAGATCTCGTAGTACTTTCCAGACCGATTTTTTGTTTGGTTTCTTTTTATACCTTACTGTCGTGTCAGCGGCCTTAGTAGTCAAAATAACCGTCGCGTTTTAGTGTTCAGATCATAGTTGCTTAGTCTAACTGAAGGAACATTATGAATGCGCCTATGTTGTTAGGGTTTTAGCCAGTTTGGATACCGGGCAATTTGACATTACCAATCAGAGTTCGTCCTTTCTACAGTGCTATGGGCTCCACACTAAGACAGTTTGCTCAGTTTGAATCGCCGTCTCCCTCAGTTTTTAAGTCTTCGCTGCAACGGTGTTACTAACAACGCTGGCTAGATGTCTAAAGCAGTTTGCATAAAGCCATCCGGTCATTCTGAGAGCCACTATCTTCGCCATCCAGAATTTTTGAAGGGTTGCTCGCATTGAAATTGAGGAGCTATCTTGCTCACGAAGTAGCTTTTCAATTTTGTTTTCTGTAGATTTTGCAATATTGTACAAAAAAGGTGGAAGCCCCTGTAGTTCTGTGACTAATTTTACCTTAAAGCCGAACCCATGACCACCAGCGGCTTGCACCGCCAGTCAGCAAGTTATGCCACGGGGAACAGCTTCGGACCGTCATGATCTACAAACCAACTGTGATATAGCGCGTCTTATCGGATCCTGATGGATCCGATGGATGCACACTACTGATGATGCCCAACAGGCTGAAACTGCAGTCTAGTGCTTTTCCGGGCATGTGAAAGACTGTTTGATTTGGAAGCTGGCTGTGACGAACCTCAATTATCTATCGAGCTACACTGATTTTCTTACGATAGCAACACAGTCAACTACTGAACACCTGAGATGGCAACTAACACTGTCCGTTTTACTCGGTCTCTACTCCGGATAAAGAAATAAAAATAACACCTGGGAATGATGCTTACCGACGCCAGAAGTGTGATGATTCGGTTCCGTCTTGTCAGTCCGAATCCTGAGCACTTTCCACCCCACTCCGGGGACCACTGCGCATTCTACTATCTTGTCATCCAAATACTTGTCCTTTGGTCCGACATGAGCCAGTCTTGCAGAAGGCACGTTCAACCCACCAAGGTACAAGTGTCCAACATAGCCAGGTATTTCCCTGAAGAAAGCCAACGCAAAGCGTAATTATAACGGATAAACAGAACTGTAATTATGAGCTTATTGATTTCTGGCCGGTTCACACACTGTTACGAAGGACATATCACCGAGTAGGATAAATTAATGAGGAAGACAAATGACAAACGTACCCGAGTTTCGCTTCATGAACAATCTTGCAGCGAAAATCGATGGTGTTCAGATGGGGCGGTTTCCACTTTAATGTTTGCGGACAGGTACCCAGAACATAGTAATCCTCTGGTCCGCAGGGTTGAAAGATGAGACCGTCAGTTACGTGGTCAATGCGCTGCGCGAATTCAGGCTTTAGTAGCTGCAAAGAAGAAAATTGCCACCGTAGTCTAAAGAGTTTCATCATCGCTTCTTTGTCAAAGAAATAAATGTGAAATGTCTCTGTCACTGAGTGTTCGAATACCTTCAATTTGGAGGGTTCCTACTACAGTCTAACTTACTATGGCGACCACCTGTTTATGGTGATCAGCCAAAAATATCCCTAAACTTTTCTCCCATGATTAATGTCCCTATGCATGAACCTGTCTGTGGGGACCACTATTTGTCGGTCCTTTGAGCGGTCGCATTAGACAAGTTAGACTGTATCATATACTCATGAAACCTGATAATCTGCAATAATTGCCCGTTACTCCCGCCTCCTCCATTTCTTGAGCCATTTCGGTCTACCAGGCTTCCTTGTCTGCACGCAGACTCCGCTTTAGTTTGTGCCTAAGAGTCCGTCTGGTCTGCTCAGAGACAGCCGGGAGATTTCTTCTGAATTCTAACAGGTTCACTGACCTCTCAGAAATTTAGTGACTGGTGCGATGTGGCATTACAGTGCCACAAGCGGTGGCTGTTGCACCGTACATGGCAGCCGAAATTCTATCCCATTGAAGATCAGTGGCGAGAGGTACGCAGGGCATCTTGATATTCTTGTTCGACCAAAAGATAGGATAACTCTTCAATTTCCAATCGGATAAGGCGCTTAGTTCGGCTCCCGATGAAGTTCGTAGAAAAAACGACAGCGTAGCAAAGCATGACTAGACTCGATGCAAGCATTCCAGAACAACCGACAGTCCAAGATGGAACCACGCTATATATGGGTCCATTTCTGGCCATGCATAGCGGGACGCCAAGTGGTGCTTTAACGTGCACTGTACCTAAAAGCGGTGCAACTAAAGACATCCGGTGCTTCGCGCACAGCTTCTGAAGGGCTCAAACGAACTACTTACACATTCATATCCCCTGTAAGAGCAATGATATCTGAACCGGTAACGCTGCGAAGCAGCGTGTTCTGCCAGGTGATAGATTTCTTGACTTCGAGTACGCCGACGACACTGTGTTCATCTGTGACAACTCCAGAACGTGCCAAATTGCACTGGACAAATTAGCCTTGGTTGTCAGTCGTTTCGAGCTACACTTTGCACCCTCGAAACGCAAAGTCCTTCTCTATGATTGTCAGGAACCCACATCTGCGCTGATCCTTGGTGATGATCAGCTGATGTCGTCCAGAGATTCAAGTATCTAGGTCAAACATTCCCAATCTATATTGGGCCGTGGCCTCTTTTTAAGCCTTCCCATTTCTCATCCCCCCACCCTTGATCATCACAATTTAAGCAACCCGCAACGCCCGAGAGACGTAAATCTGTGATTTCCGGTGGTCATATTGGTATCTTTTGTTTGGGTGACTAAATTTTTATTGTTGGTATCATCGAGCTTTTCCTCACAAACCTCATTTTGACTTTCCCAGCCTCAAGCTAACATTCATTGTGCGGCAACATCGTCACTCGTCTGTAATTAAACATAGGACATGATTATTATTAGAAATATTACTTTTTTATTGTTGAATTTTAACCTTAAGGCATGTCATTCATTAAGAGGTGTAGTAACTTCGTAACAATATGTTTGCCGAGATATTAATGCGAGCGTTGAGCCTGATGTCTTTGAGCAAGTTTGCTTATGTCCGGCTCCAGACTTGACAGCAAAAATCGAAGATCTCTTGTTGTGATGTGATCTATTTCTACATTTTGTTTAAGAAACCACTCTGCTAAATCATTCAACCAAGTACGCGGATGGAAAAGCAAGAAAAGATATTTCAGCTATTTCCCACAGTCCGGAGTACCTGTCAGGGGCAACACCCTTTATACAAAAACCTCGTTGATATATTGCGTGAATTTGGATCTTGCTGGTGTGTCACTTTGAGACTTCACTGCGCTTTAACTCCAACATCGCAGGGCTGGATCAGAAATCCAAACCAGGATTTACATGTCAATCAGGTCATAAAACATGCCTTCCATTTCTTTTCGGAGTTGTTGTAAATGACTGTCATAAACAATCAAGTGTTCATCCATCAGCTCCTGCGAGAATTGGAAACTAAAAATTTCTGACATCCGGTGTTTCCAGCATACAGTTCCAGCTTTTTAAGAAAACTGACAGCGGCTCACTTGCTCGAGATGAGATTATTCAAGTTGCCCTGAAGGGTTTTATTTAATAAGTTGAGTTCTTCAAAAACATCAGCCAGATAAAACACCTCTGGCTTAGCTGTTAACAGTTTTCGTTCATAATCAGCTCCAGAAACAGCTGTGGCGATGGTGTCCCAGGGTGCAACAAAACGGCTAGACAGTTGCCCTTTGAGAGCCATCTAACCTCTGTGTGAAAACAATAGAGCCAGCGAACCTTCACTGTTCTCCTCACACAATTGCTGGAAAAGCCGATCTTGAAGGGGGGTGCGATTTGATATTGTTGACCACTGTTATAACAGTTGACAGTGAATCGTTTAAGCAACCTCTTAAATCCTTGGCCGCTAGGTGCTCTCGATGAATCATATTGAATTGCGTGAAAAATTCTCAGATGGGCAATAAATTCTTCGTATCTCCCGACCATTGCGGCAGTACCATCTGCTGCATATGCAACTGTGTTCTGTATCGGAATGGAATTTTTAGTCAGACAGCTATTGATTACCTCAAATATAGACTGGCCCTTTGTGTGAGTTTTAATTCTCCTGGCAAACAGCATCTCTTCCACTAATTCATTATCATTGAAGAATCCAAAGTACGTCACTAGAAGAGCGTCGTTATCAGGGAAATTGGATTCATCTACTTGTAACGGGAACTTTTTAGACTGTAGTAATGCAACTAAGGTACTTTCTATGTCCTGTTCGCCTAGATACAGTCGGAATGGCTTGAACTACTTGTGAATATATGTTCATCATGTCAGACAGTATTATTGATACTGAAAGGAAGATACTTTTTCCAACACTATGTAAAGCGCAATTTTTGGCAATTTACTTGCTGACTTCATGAGACGCCTCAAGTCCATTTGCAATGTTTCTGCCCTGTCAGAAACCATTACCCTTAAATTGGTCTCTTTTCGAAACTATCCCGTAGCTTTTTAAAAAATTCTCATACTTTCTGCTTTTGTTCTTCTGAGCACTTTCCAAATGATTTTTCAGTTTACTTGTTCGCATACTTCATTTTAAAGTGCTTTGGCATATTGAGGTGATGCGACAGTATTACCGAAACTTCCGAAATATACCACTGTAAATTGTTAATATGTAATATAATATTGCTTTATTTTTACTACACATTTATATCATGGGTATCAAATAACATCATTCGACAAGGCTAAACACACAAGTAGTATGAATAATTGGTGGCACTAAATTTATTCTTGCTTGACCGTGAGTTTAAACGAAAATCCGTTTGGCAAGCATACTTGCAACATCTGTTGGTCGCTACAATGTTGAAATGTAAAAGTGTAGAAACACTGTTAGAGGCAACCCAAACGTTGATTCGGAGGATGACTGAAAATGCAGTGAATAGTTAAAATGACTGAAGAAAACTTATTGATAAAAGCCAATGAAGAAAACACATGGAACTCAGAAAATGAAAATGCACATTGGACACACATGCATTGCAGGACGGTTGTAGCGAACAGAGACAACAGGTAAAATTAAGAATAGAATAGACAAACACGGAAGAAAATGCCGGATAGGTGTTTCGGTGTTGCTCTTCCAAAGACTGACACTCCGTAATCGTTTGGACTGGTCTGATGGAGACAGCCTGAGCTGGGGTGGAACGGAGCTCAGTCGATGACTTGATCACTATGCCACTAAACTCCTTAAGCAATGCTTGGCACAGCGATAAGGGATTCAGATTTGCTTTTGGAGTGCCCGCCGTGTGGTTTGATTGCGACATGCAATTTCTATTGAGACTTCGAAGTAGACCTCGTTCATTCCGAGCGCAAGGACCGTATTCGAAATGGGGGTGTTTGGGTGTTGCTCGTCTAAACACTGATACCCTGTGACTGGTTTCGTCCTCGTTTGGACTGATAAGATGGAGATAGCCTGAGCTGTGATGGAACTCAGGGGCTTGGTTAAAGGCCGACGCCTTGATCACTATGCCCCTTAGATGCTTGAGTATCGCTCGGCACAGCAGTAAGGCGTCAGCTTTAATCACTAACCCCAGAGTCCCACCCCAGCTCAAGTTATCTCCATCTGATGAGTCCAAACGAGGACGAAACAGGTTACAAGGTGTCAGGGTTAAGCAGCAGCACCGAACCAGCCCAAATTCGGATACGGTCATTGTGATCGTAATCACGGAGGTCGACTTTAAAGTGAACTGCGTGTCGCAATCCAAACACACGGTGAGTACTCCAAATCCAACTTTGAAAGTGCCGGGTAGTTCAAGAATTCGGCACGAGAGAATCAACAACGAAACTAATAACGTGCATCGGGCCAGCGCCCAATGCGCGCTGGCAAGGCATTTGATTATCATGAGTATTAGGAGACTTATCCTCATGTACATATTGTTATTTTTACCAAACGAAGGTGCCCTTTAATTTGAAAACTTCAGCCAAGAAAGCGTTATAACGCGTACTAGCTGTTTCGACTTAGTCGAAACTAACGAACGTTCTCCAGAGATACTACCTCGCGCGCGCCGAGTACCCATTCCAATTCGGAACATTGCGGACTAACGTGACAGCCGCCAGACGTGCGCGCAATCTGGCAATGAAGACGAAAAATTGATAACCTAGCCATACTGAGCTGAAACTCAACAAGAAAGACTGCCCAGCACATGAGTTGTCACACAGTGGTAGTGTCCTGAGGAAAACTCAGTTAGTGTGGCTTTGTGCAGTAACTGCTACCGTGTTCCGATGAGAGTTCGCTAGGTTCACTGAGGCTTGTCTTGAGCAGAGCTCAGTTGGTTCACTGTGGATAGACATAAAGTCCTGAGGACGAATCGGTTGTTGGTTGCGCAGTGTAAGTCACCGTATGGCGATTGTATGGTTGAAGTGAGCTATTTGAAATCTGCGCAATGGAAGGCCTGCCCACGTCTGGATTTACACCTTCGTAAACAGCCAATTGCGCGCGTAATCCATTTCACTGACCGGTAGTTACTAGGGGAGATTAGTGCGCAGAGAAAATATCAGAAAACTTTTTAAATGAATCCTGGTACCTATCACACCCACTTTTCATAGCATGGCCCACTGTGGCCCCCATCGCTCCCCTAAAAAATTTTCTCATCCCAGAGTCTTCTTGAATTCTCTATGGCCTCCAAGGAGGCCATATGGTTTCCGTTGAGAATTGCTGATATAGACAGCTATATCAGCGTCAGCAAAATTGTAGATCATATCACACCGCATTGCGAAAGCTCGAGATGCTTTCGCAAAGCTACGCCAGCGCGACGTCACTCACTCTGAAGGGCAGATTTTACAGTACAGCCATCCATTCAACTTTCCTTATACGGATACGAAACATGGCTCATCAAGTCGACAAAATTAAGGCTTGTTACCTTGAACCATCGCTGCCTTCGCAGCTTAGTTCATGTCTGGTGGGAACACCGCGTGAGCAATGAGCGTGTTCGGCGTCGCCTATTTGGTGCAAAAAGAACGAGTGAGCAGATCAGCACCGTTATTTCACGTACCAGGCTCCGATAGCTGGGCCACATGTTACGCATGCCGGCCCACCAACTTCCGAGAGATGCGTTGTTTGCGCGCCTGAGGAAAGAAGAGGAAGGGAGTCCAACTGATGACTTGGTCAAGAGAAATGAAGTCCCTCACTTCAAAGTTGGTGTCTCCTGACCGCTAGGCTGTGGTCTGAAGGACGATGAGCACGTCTGGTTTTATACATGGCAAGGTGCCGACCTTAGTGGCGTTTGCGTTGTGAGTTTCTCTGTCCCTCCCCATCCCGCTTATCTTCCTCTTCCAGCCATGATCTCCCTCTTGAATCATGATATGTTATTAGACAGCGTGTTGCCTGTTTTTTGCATTCCATGTTGATAAGTATATTGCTTTTTCTTGTTTTATCTTTACATACTGTGGTACAATAGTTAGGTGTATTTTTTTCAGCTGACTTGTAATGATGATGATACAACATTCGAGGTAGGCAAAGGAAGGGACGCCGATGGTCGTGCGTGACATCCATTCTACTGGTTAGCTATGTTGAAATTGTGCATTGAAATTGTGCAAAAAAAACCCAGAAACCTTGAAACTGGGCGCTTTTATGCGGGTTAAGGGAGCGACACTATAAGTGCAAACACGTGCCAACCTGACTGGATATTTGTTCGGTGTCAAATAAACCATTGATTACAAGACTCGCAAAGAGTGGATACTGCCGCTACCGAGGAAATTGTGTTTCATGGAATTGAGCAATGAAACATCGTAACAGAAACCAAAACTCATGATTGTGAAGTTGGACCGTATGTTTAATTGCGGCGTAGCCCTGATGTAGTAACGTGAAATAGCTTCCGTGACAGATGAGCAGCAATAAACGTTTTAGCGAATGTTGACCTCGTCAACTGGAAGAAGAATCTTAGACTTCGTTCAAACAATGTGCGGTCGTTGCTCACAACTTCGGGACTGTGTACTTAAGTGACATTTGTGCACTCTTTACTCATTCTGTTTTTAAAATGGTAAAATTCTCATCTTTACTGATGATGTTTATATCACATTTGTGGTGGATAGTGTAAAATGCTGAGAATGCATCCATCTGGGTGCTTAAAGCTTTTCTTGACCTGACTTGAATATGTAAACAGGGAACCACTTACTTTGGGTTAGCTTAATGGAGTGAGATTATGAACCGAGGGCATAACCAGACAGAAAAATTCTAGATGATGAAAAAGTGGAGGATTTATGTATATACAAGGCATTGACGAAACAGTCTCCGAACGCACTCACTTCTTCAGTTTGATTGAGCGGACGAAACGTCTTCCTCCTGACGGAGAAAGACTGAGCACTAAAATCGACCAACCCCAGATGTCCCGCAGTATTCCTGGGCCATATTACTTGTTTATCAATCGCCTGATATCGATCGAAAAAGGGACATCGACCAATGGGATGACCATTGAGTGTGATCATATCATACACGAGGAACCGGGGAATACCATCTGTCGGTGTCTCATGGGGATTTGGGGGAGGTTTGGAGGGGTCGAAACAGATGACCATTTCACCGTCAAGCAATGTGTGAAATAGGTGGCCGTTTGGACAGGACAAGAACTCTGATGTTTTAGAGGTGTTTGATGACTTTTCGGCGTTGCTGACCCAAGAGACTGTTGGAAAATGTAATACATCGGCCTTGTATACAAAGTTGCCACGATCGAGTAGGTAGACTTGGCCGGGCCCAGTGATTAGAAGCAGATAACGGACGCCATCCGCTTTGTGTGAGACACAGTAGTCAAAATTTACAAGAGCTTCTATATTTCGCAGCGAAATGGAAACAGGTTGACTGCCTTTGAAACGCAAAGGGTGAGCGCGGCGTTTGTGGGAGCTCTCTGGGCTATCGGGCTTCGGTTTTTCGGCATTTTCTGAGTCACTCTCGGTTTGGTGACCATCCGCATAAACAAGTTGACCGTCCATCAGTAGGCAACCACCAGTTTTTAAAAGCCTGTCTGCTAACTCACGAGCTTCATGAGCGTCTGGACAGTCTTGATCCAAAACACTCACGCGAGATAGTCCCTCTATGAGCTTCGGGGTCCCCTTTGGAGGGGGAGGAAAGGAACGACTATGAAAAACAGTAGTTGAATCGGAACAACGGTCCAACAGGTCATCGTTACGAGCCATCTTAGCATCCAGAGGACCGTCCACTGCATCCTCGTCTGACGCACGAGTCCGTTTCACATTTTCGTTTGAAAGTGAATCATCCTCTGTTGTTGTGAATAAGGAAAAGAAGACAAATGGGCAGTATTGGCATGGAAACATGTCTTATTTGATGCCAAAATTAAAAGTGTTGTCGTGGATCAGGTGGCTTGCGCAACAGTATTAGGTTCTAGAGGATCAAAGTGACCGCAAGGGACTTCGGCAGAAAACTGTATGAACAGTTAGGATCGTGTTGCGAGACTGGTACACAAGATTTAGAAGCACTTCAGACAAGTCATCCTGAGGCTATACTGTCACCGAAACAGGATGAAAAGAAGAGGATGCAAAAATACACGAACAACCGATTCATTTTAATAAATTGATATCCGATCTACAATTGTTATTTTGTACCATACATGGATATTGGGATCCACCGATCTTAGACCACAGCATAAGCGGCATAACAACTAAGAGACCTCAGGGACAAGCAACAGTCGGTAGCCCTAGGCATCTAGGCAACAAAATCACAGGTGTGGGAATATACGGTAGCTTCGTTTCTCTTGAGAAAATGACGCAAGAAGCGTGCGTGTGGTGATGCGGCTATGAGTGCAAAGTGTGAAGGCTCATGAATGTACTGGACTAGCAGTCACGGGATCAGCAGTTCCGCGACAACAGCAGACGACTGTTGCTGATGAAGGCGTGATTAAGAATCAAGACGTGGGTGGAGTTATAGCGCATCAACGCATGCCCGTTAATAGGTTAGAAATCAGAGGCAACAATGCAAACGCGCGGGATTTTTTGACAGAAAAGCATTAGTACAGAACGATCTGCACTAAGGCTTCAGAAAGAAAAAATTGCAAAAAAATTACTTGTAGTTCTGAGTGTGGGTGTCCTTGTATTGATATGGTTGGCGGCATCCAGTTTCGGATTTGCCTGTCACTGTGGCCAGCCACAGGACGCCTGCGCCCACAGAAGGACCATGAATGGCTTGCGCTGCACCACCCACACACCCCATATCCAGTGTAAACCCGAAGCAATAAGACCGGGAGGCATGTGGATGGGGGCCACGTTTCATCAACAGAGCCAGCCCATACACCTTCATAGGCAAACACAAGCACGCTGTATTTGGGGAATCAAGCGCACACAAGGCGCTGGCTGGACCGTAGTCCGTTTCACACTGAATGCATAGAACCACTCTTCGAGCCTAGCACCGCCACCAGAACCGTGCACTCCGGCCCCTCCAGCAAAGACCAGCTGTCTCTTTGAGCCAGTATGGACGAGATAGTGGACAACAGACAGGTAGGCACCTTGTCAACATGCACATCAAGGGCAGTCACACCAGGGATGTCAAACAACAGGCAATCACTTGAAATGACGAGATGAAATAAAATAAATCGAATAATGCATGTAGATACGGTGACAACTCTTCACTAAATGAGCATATGAAATAATTTGGTTACGAACAAATCTGCGATAAGTTCAAGACGTCAAAAAATATATTTTAAGAAAATGCCACAAACGTGAAAATGTCATCGAAGTTAACTACAATTAGCTTAATAGACGTGTGCAAGTTTATAGAAGATAGTTTAGGTAGACATTAACATGAGATAAAAGAGCATAAGGATAATATAGCAAACCCACCACTTGAAATAAAGAGATCCAGCATGCATGCAAGTGGTTAGTAAATCGAACGCAGCGTACCTACAAACGCTGTGCATGTTATGTCTACGTTCTCTGCAGGACTCGTCGTCGTTTCGGCGTTGGCCCCGAATGGCCTCACACATGGCTCACTAGGCATGTCCGACTCACGCACTCGCGTACGCATGTGCTACAGCACCATGCGCTCGATGTCGATGGAGTACAACCCATCGGTGATTGCCGCTTCTTGTCTGCGTGTATGAGGTTTTTCTCCCGCACTTCGGCAACTGCCTTCGTGATCAGATCGCGCCATGCACGCCGATCAACTCTTTCGATTCCCATCATCTGCAATCAAGATTAGAATGTGAGAAGCTCACTTTGATCATGTCCTGGTAACGAAGCTTCGTTTTCCCCACATGCCGCTTCCAAACACAGCTGACCATATAATAGCTGCTTCGGTATCCGCGTCGAATCCATACACCCCACATGACCGAGCCACCATATAAGAGAGAACAAATCGATTGAAAGGGAAACGATTGTTAGAGTAGAAGTCTCACAGCAAGTGCGCCATTGCGTAGGGTTCTTGGCCATATCCAGTACCGTTTGCAGCCAGATGCGCACGGTATGCTTTGGTCTCCAATCCGGGAATCGGGAATGTCCATCAACAGCCAGCTTTGACGTTTGCGAATTGTCGCATTGGATCCAAGTTTTGCAGTGACCTCCCTGTCTTCGCTTGCATCTCAACCTGCACTCGCAAATAGGGCACCTCGAGGCAGCCGTTGGACAGGAATGCGAAGCACATGCCCAAGCCATTAAAGCCTCCGCAGTGAAATGGTGTTTTCAAACGGTCGGTGGAGTTTGTCGGATTAGAAGACTTATCGACGGATTTCCTCATTACTGATGTGTTGCTGTCATCCAACACCAGCAATGCTCCGCAGGCAACGGTGCTGGGAGATATAGCCGTTGAACATTACTTTTGAGAGCAGGCCAAGTCTCGCAGCCGTACAGCAGAACCGCTCGTACTGCAGCATTGTAGACTGGTCCATTGAGAGCAAGGCTGAGGTCACGACGAGGCCACAGATGACGAATGTTAGCAAAAGCTACTCTAGCCATGGAGACACGCAAAATGTCATCCGTCAAACCGCCAACAGAACTCCAAGGTAAATGAATTTGTCGGCCACTTCTGGTGGATGTCCCGAAAGGGTGAGAGGAGATGCACTTGGTCAGTCTAGCAACAGGACCTAACATTTGGAATGAGCAGGAATCAATCCAAATCGGGAGGCAGACCTCTCTAGTCTAAGCACATGCTGGGCGGTCTGATAAGACTCGCAAATCACAGCAATGTTATCTGCGTACTTTAAGTCCAGAAGGCGGTCACCCAGGAACAGTTCGACGTCATAGCACTCAGAGTTTTTCAGGATAGTATCCAGGATCTCGTTCATGGCGAAGTTGGACAAGGGTGAAGTGGTTCTGCAACCCTGTCTAACACCACCCGTGATGCTGAAGGCGGGGGGAATTTTCAGTAGACTCGCACGCGGCCCGAAATTTGACGATAAATGGTACGGAGAATGCTGATGTAATTCCCAGGTAATCCCCTCCTCAGTAAGTAGTCCAAAAGAGCCACTCTGGCTCGAATGGCCAAGAATATGACTATGGTTGGTCGACTGAACGTATGATGATGTTCAAGTATCTGGCGGATCATAAAGATGTGATCGACACAACTGCGACCCGGGCGAAATCCAGCTTGCTGTTCACGCAAGTGCTGTTCCTGTGAGCAGCTGAGCCTCCGCAGGAGTAAGGCATAGAGCAGTTTGGATGCAACACAAATGAGACTGATCCCACGATTATTAGAACAAACGGCTCGGTCTCCTTTTTGTAGATACGACGTCCGCTAATGTCCAGTCGGATGGGATGGTTACAGTAGTCCAAATCTGATGAAAGAGGGATGTCAGATCACGGGTGAGAGCAGGACCTCCATATTTAAAAAGAGCAGAAGGAAGTTCATTTAAGGCCAGGTGATTTATGGCGCCTTATCAGGCGAAGCTCACGGTAAATCTCAGACCCAGTCGATGGAGGAACACCCACGCATCAGGGAACACTGTGAATCCCTGAAATGGACTCGGTTGTGCTGGTGGTCAATTGAACTGACCTTCAAAGTGCTCTGTTCATCGTACCGGACGACGATGATGACTGTGAATTAGGTCGCCATTTTCACGCAAAGCCTCACTCGCTGTTGACCTTTTGCCTCTCGTGGACGAAATCTACTGGAAGAGTTTGCGGGAGTTTCCCGAGGGCGCCGCCCGCTCCATCACAACGACGCGTTGTGTCTACCAGACTTTGCGATCCTTTCTGTGTAGCTGTCTGAGCTCGGCACCTGTGCTTCTGTGTAGTACGTTTTACTCAACTCCGGCGGGAATTGCTCGAGGGCTTTCCATTAACTGAAGAGACTGCGCGGGGATCCAATGACTAGCAACCCGTCTAGTGAAGCCACAGAGCAAGGTAGCGGACTTTCGTAAGGTGCTCTGAATATGGGCCGTGTGTCTCGACGTCGGAGGATAGAGGACGCAAGTTAGAGTCTAACGTGGTCAGAAGTGCGCCGAGAGCATTTGGGGCAACGAGCTTGTCTGTGTCAAGCCGTTTTCGGGTGCCTCTAAAACGCAGAGCGACCTTAGCACACATGAGTGCATGATCCTGTCAAGTGTACCAAATTGACTTGCAGTTCGTTGAACAGCCTCGCCGACGGTAACTAATAGCCATATGGTCCATCCGCTCCCAAGCATCACCAGCCGTCTGTCGCCAGGTGGCTGGTGGGCGCCTGGAACGCCGGATATTGGTGCTCGTAAGGAACAAGCCGTGGCCAGCACACAGTTGAATGATTAGATCGCCGGTGTCCTTTCTGTGAGTCCCGTGACTGTGCTGACTCCCAAGTTCGCGTTCATGAACTTCTGATCTGCCGACTTGCGCACTTAGGTCTCCGGCAAATACCACGATGTCCATGCGGCGTTTCTTGCGGAGGACGCCGGTGAGCTGGCGATAGAACTCAAGTTTAGCTGCATCCTGACTGCAGACCGTAGGAGCACAAGTCGCTACAAAGAATAAGCAACGCATACTGGTCCCGTGGCTAGAAGATCGCACTGCACTTTCCAAAAGGACTGCACAGAGACGGCTGTTGACCGGGAATCAGTCGATGACCGCTGCCTCAGCACGTGCGCTTAACGTGACTTTTACGTTGGCGCAGCCAGAGACTGCAGTTGTTGCATATTTAAATAAGCGCAAGGTGAATGTGCTATCGGAACCTGAAGATGGTGAGAAAAATTGCAGCGTTGTGCTGGAGTCCTGTAAACGGTGGCGAGAGTTTCTAAGGTGCGCGGAAGAGCAGCTTGTGATCTAACCTGCAGCATACGCGTTCGAACATTGAGCGCAGTTAGCA